ATTGGTGATGAACACTGTATTTTATAGAGAGGTGTCCTCTCATGGAGGTTCTACTGTATTGGTGATGAACACTGTCCTTTATAGAGAGGTGTCCTCTCATGGAGGTTCTACTGTATTGGTGATGAACACTGTCCTTTATAGAGAGGTGTCCTCTCATGGAGGTTCTACTGTATTGGTGATGAACACTGTCCTTTATAGAGAGGTGTCCTCTCACATGGAGGTTCTACTGTATTGGTGATGAACACTGTCCTTTATAGAGAGGTGTCCTCTCATGGAGGTTCTACTGTATTGGTGATGAACACTGTCCTTTATAGAGAGGTGTCCTCTCACATGGAGGTTCTACTGTATTGGTGATGAACACTGTCCTTTATAGAGAGGTGTCCTCTCACATGGAGGTTCTACTGTATTGGTGATGAACACTGTCCTTTATAGAGAGGTGTCCTCTCATGGAGGCTCTACTGTATTGGTGATGAACACTGTCCTTTATAGAGAGGTGTCCTCTCATGGAGGTTCTACTGTATTGGTGATGAACACTGTCCTTTATAGAGAGGTGTCCTCTCATGGAGGTTCTACTGTATTGGTGATGAACACCGTCCTTTATAGAGAGGTGTCCTCTCACATGGAGGTTCTACTGTATTGGTGATGAACACCGTCCTTTATAGAGAGGTGTCCTCTCATGGAGGTTCTACTGTATTGGTGATGAACACCGTCCTTTATAGAGAGGTGTCCTCTCATGGAGGTTCTACTGTATTGGTGATGAACACCGTCCTTTATAGAGAGGTGTCCTCTCATGGAGGTTCTACTGTATTGGTGATGAACACTGTCCTTTATAGAGGTGTCCTCTCACATGGAGGTTCTACTGTATTGGTGATGAACACTGTCCTTTATAGAGAGGTGTCCTCTCATGGAGGTTCTACTGTATTGGTGATGAACACTGTCCTTTATAGAGAGGTGTCCTCTCACATGGAGGTTCTACTGTATTGGTGATGAACACCGTCCTTTATAGAGAGGTGTCCTCTCATGGAGGTTCTACTGTATTGGTGATGAACACCATCCTTTATAGAGAGGTGTCCTCTCATGGAGGTTCTACTGTATTGGTGATGAACACTGTCCTTTATAGAGAGGTGTCCTCTCATGGAGGTTCTACTGTATTGGTGATGAACACTGTCCTTTATAGAGAGGTGTCCTCTCATGGAGGTTCTACTGTATTGGTGATGAACACTGTCCTTTATAGAGAGGTGTCCTCTCACATGGAGGTTCTACTGTATTGGTGATGAACACCGTCCTTTATAGAGAGGTGTCCTCTCATGGAGGTTCTACTGTATTGGTGATGAACACTGTCCTTTATAGAGAGGTGTCCTCTCACATGGAGGTTCTACTGTATTGGTGATGAACACTGTCCTTTATAGAGAGGTGTCCTCTCACATGGAGGTTCTACTGTATTGGTGATGAACACTGTCCTTTATAGAGAGGTGTCCTCTCATGGAGGTTCTACTGTATTGGTGATGAACACCGTCCTTTATAGAGAGGTGTCCTCTCACATGGAGGTTCTACTGTATTGGTGATGAACACTGTCCTTTATAGAGAGGTGTCCTCTCATGGAGGTTCTACTATATTGGTGATGAACACTGTCCTTTATAGAGAGGTGTCCTCTCACATGGAGGTTCTACTGTATTGGTGATGAACACCGTCCTTTATAGAGAGGTGTCCTCTCATGGAGGTTCTACTGTATTGGTGATGAACACTGTCCTTTATAGAGAGGTGTCCTCTCACATGGAGGTTCTACTGTATTGGTGATGAACACTGTCCTTTATAGAGAGGTGTCCTCTCACATGGAGGTTCTACTGTATTGGTGATGAACACCGTCCTTTATAGAGAGGTGTCCTCTCATGGAGGTTCTACTGTATTGGTGATGAACACTGTCCTTTATAGAGAGGTGTCCTCTCACATGGAGGTTCTACTGTATTGGTGATGAACACTGTCCTTTATAGAGAGGTGTCCTCTCATGGAGGTTCTACTGTATTGGTGATGAACACTGTCCTTTATAGAGAGGTGTCCTCTCATGGAGGTTCTACTGTATTGGTGATGAACACTGTCCTTTATAGAGAGGTGTCCTCTCATGGAGGTTCTACTGTATTGGTGATGAACACTGTCCTTTATAGAGAGGTGTCCTCTCATGGAGGTTCTACTGTATTGGTGATGAACACCGTCCTTTATAGAGAGGTGTCCTCTCACATGGAGGTTCTACTGTATTGGTGATGAACACCGTCCTTTATAGAGAGGTGTCCTCTCATGGAGGTTCTACTGTATTGGTGATGAACACCGTCCTTTATAGAGAGGTGTCCTCTCATGGAGGTTCTACTGTATTGGTGATGAACACCGTCCTTTATAGAGAGGTGTCCTCTCATGGAGGTTCTACTGTATTGGTGATGAACACTGTCCTTTATAGAGGTGTCCTCTCACATGGAGGTTCTACTGTATTGGTGATGAACACTGTCCTTTATAGAGAGGTGTCCTCTCATGGAGGTTCTACTGTATTGGTGATGAACACTGTCCTTTATAGAGAGGTGTCCTCTCACATGGAGGTTCTACTGTATTGGTGATGAACACCGTCCTTTATAGAGAGGTGTCCTCTCATGGAGGTTCTACTGTATTGGTGATGAACACCGTCCTTTATAGAGAGGTGTCCTCTCATGGAGGTTCTACTGTATTGGTGATGAACACTGTCCTTTATAGAGAGGTGTCCTCTCATGGAGGTTCTACTGTATTGGTGATGAACACTGTCCTTTATAGAGAGGTGTCCTCTCATGGAGGTTCTACTGTATTGGTGATGAACACCGTCCTTTATAGAGAGGTGTCCTCTCACATGGAGGTTCTACTGTATTGGTGATGAACACCGTCCTTTATAGAGAGGTGTCCTCTCATGGAGGTTCTACTGTATTGGTGATGAACACTGTCCTTTATAGAGAGGTGTCCTCTCATGGAGGTTCTACTGTATTGGTGATGAACACTGTCCTTTATAGAGAGGTGTCCTCTCACATGGAGGTTCTACTGTATTGGTGATGAACACCGTCCTTTATAGAGAGGTGTCCTCTCATGGAGGTTCTACTGTATTGGTGATGAACACTGTCCTTTATAGAGAGGTGTCCTCTCACATGGAGGTTCTACTGTATTGGTGATGAACACCGTCCTTTATAGAGAGGTGTCCTCTCATGGAGGTTCTACTGTATTGGTGATGAACACTGTCCTTTATAGAGAGGTGTCCTCTCACATGGAGGTTCTACTGTATTGGTGATGAACACCGTCCTTTATAGAGAGGTGTCCTCTCACATGGAGGTTCTACTGTATTGGTGATGAACACCGTCCTTTATAGAGAGGTGTCCTCTCATGGAGGTTCTACTGTATTGGTGATGAACACTGTCCTTTATAGAGAGGTGTCCTCTCATGGAGGTTCTACTGTATTGGTGATGAACACTGTCCTTTATAGAGAGGTGTCCTCTCACATGGAGGTTCTACTGTATTGGTGATGAACACTGTCCTTTATAGAGAGGTGTCCTCTCATGGAGGTTCTACTGTATTGGTGATGAACACTGTCCTTTATAGAGAGGTGTCCTCTCATGGAAGTTCTACTGTATTGGTGATGAACACTGTCCTTTATAGAGAGGTGTCCTCTCACATGGAGGTTCTACTGTATTGGTGATGAACACTGTCCTTTATAGAGAGGTGTCCTCTCACATGGAGGTTCTACTGTATTGGTGATGAACACCGTCCTTTATAGAGAGGTGTCCTCTCACATGGAGGTTCTACTGTATTGGTGATGAACACTGTCTTTTATAGAGAGGTGTCCTCTCATGGAGGTTCTACTGTATTGGTGATGAACACTGTCCTTTATAGAGAGGTGTCCTCTCATGGAGGTTCTACTGTATTGGTGATGAACACTGTCCTTTATAGAGAGGTGTCCTCTCATGGAGGTTCTACTGTATTGGTGATGAACACTGTCCTTTATAGAGAGATGTCCTCTCATGGAGGTTCTACTGTATTGGTGATGAACACTGTCCTTTATAGAGAGGTGTCCTCTCATGGAGGTTCTACTGTATTGGTGATGAACACTGTCCTTTATAGAGAGGTGTCCTCTCACATGGAGGTTCTACTGTATTGGTGATGAACACTGTCCTTTATAGAGAGGTGTCCTCTCATGGAGGTTCTACTGTATTGGTGATGAACACTGTCCTTTATAGAGAGGTGTCCTCTCATGGAGGTTCTACTGTATTGGTGATGAACACTGTCCTTTATAGAGAGGTGTCCTCTCATGGAAGTTCTACTGTATTGGTGATGAACACTGTCCTTTATAGAGAGGTGTCCTCTCATGGAGGTTCTACTGTATTGGTGATGAACACTGTCCTTTATAGAGAGGTGTCCTCTCACATGGAGGTTCTACTGTATTGGTGATGAACACTGTCCTTTATAGAGAGGTGTCCTCTCATGGAGGTTCTAGGTAATAATAATTACATAAATTTGGTGTTCTGGAAATATTGACCCAAAGATGTTTACCCATCTTGTCACAAACAATGGATATAATATAGGCTTTATTGAAATACAGAGAAAGTGGATCAGATAGTTCATGTAATATGTTAGCCTACTAAAATGATTGATTGAAGGCTGCATTGAAGATTCCAGATCAAGAAGACATATTTGCATACTACCTAAAGAGAAAAACCAAGGGTGAATAAAAATAATTCCAAACAAACCTCCCTGTTTTTTTTTTTTTTGCTTATCCCCAGTACACGTGGTACAGGCCATGATAATCATGGTGGGTAGAAGTAAACGACTGCTTTTAATGTAAGCGCACCACATGTCTACACATGTGAAAAGCAGTTCGAATTTTGCACACACAAATATGCCAGAGCCCCGTTTGGTTACTTGCACTCACTGGTGGGGTTGGACTTTTGCAAGAATCGGGAGCCATTGGTGCATTTTTTTTTTTTTAATCAGGAAAAAAGTGCCCAATGCAGGAATCGAACCTGGGTCGTAGCGGTCGAAAACCACCGGTTTAGACCATCTTTCCACCAACCCCCTAGACATATTCTACATTTGCATACTTCCTAAAGAGAGAAACCAAGGATGAATAAAAAAAGTCCAAACATACCTCCCTGTGGTCCCTCCCTTTGAATCTTAGAGTATTTGACCAAATTCTGGTCCATTTCCAAGGTGACTAACATGGCATATCCTTTTTTTAACGAATGGACATGATAAAGCTCAATTTTTATAAAGCACAATTTGGATTATAGCTACAAGAAAATAAGACACCTAATCCAAATAAATTGTGTGTGACATTTCGGTAACAACATTGTTATCATTATAAGACAAAAAAAAAAAATTAATGGATATGAAAACAACAGAAAACCAAGAATCCTACCAATAATGGGGGCTATGGATTGATCATTTGGTAGAAAACTGAGTTAGGAGAGAAGCATTTCCAACCCTTTGGATTGATTCACCAGAAAAGAATACATTCATAAACAAAATTTAGGGAAGTTGTACTTTTTACCATGTATATCTGGATTCAGACAATAACTCTGAAAGATATTACAGTGATTATTGAAAACACACGAGATAACCAAGAGTGATGCTTATGTCTTCTTTAAAAAAAAAAAATAGATGACAGGTGACATCAAAGACTTTCCACTTTCCTTTAAGTTTTGTGCATGAGTGATCATCAGACTGACAAAATAATTATTGATCATGGAGGAAGACGGAAAATAGTTTTGTAGAAAATTTTCTATTTACTTTTGTTGTGGTGTATTAGTTGTAACATTTTTGCATATTTACATAATTATTTTACAATATAACGCGGCTGATGATTGTAAAACGAAAATTGAAATTATACCGCGAATGTTTCTTTTATAAAAATCAAAATTTATTTTCAAAGAGAAATAGCGACATTTCTAACTTTGAGGATGAGGTATGGAAAGGTGAAACATGAAGAGTAATGGCGAACGGAATGGACACTTTTTATTTTTCCGTTCGCCATTACTCTTCATGTTTCACCTTTCCATACCTCATCCTCAAAGTTAGAAATGTCGCTATTTCTCTTTGAAAATAAATTTCGATTTTTATAAAAGAAACATTCGCGGTATAATTTCAATTTTCGTTTTACATAATTATTTTAAATGGATTCTGTGCCAATCCATCACTGATTATACTGGTCAAATGTCTACTTGTCCAAATGGAAAATATCATTTTCTACTGGAACATTTCTGAAAATATTGTCTAAATTCATTAATTTTGAAAAAAAAAAAACTATTGAAAACTGAATTTTATACGTAATTTAGCAGACTCTCCTATGAGAGACAGAGCCTAAAAACATGAGTAAACCTGGTGTCCTCCTGGAGGTAGTGGTCTCTTTTCAATGTGTCTTGAATGAAAAACTTATAATTTAAAATATTTCTATCTATATAGTTTAGTAATTTAAAATTTTGTTAGAAAAAATAAATTCAAAACTAACAGTAATAATTATAAGCTTCATATGTCATCATATAGCAGGTTTTACTATTATATAGAACTTATATATCTGATATATATAAAGAACATAATTCATATAAATAATAGCTTAATATTTTATTCTACACATTTTTGATGATCTTTTGGAATGCATATTTAAAATTAACTTTTAAAACACAAAGGTTCACAAGTCCCAAATTACAAAAAAATAATCTTAGTGTTCGAAAAATTGGATGTTATGAATGCCAAAAATATATATATACCAAAAAAAAGTAGTAAGAGAAAAACTAGGTTTAAAGGTAGTAAAAAGTAGTCCAATCCACTTGTCCTACTTACTTTTTGATGCAGGATCGGAGGCTGCAATTAAAAATTGCAAAAATGATATAATCGTGAATAAACGAATTAAAAAATTACTTAAACTTGATTCCATTGCATGTCCAATACCGCTAAGAAACCATCACTACAATTATTTTAATCTTAAAACTTCATCTACACAAACGGCCATTATGCTTTAATGTTTTGTAAACAACAGCATATAATCTCGATACCTAAATCCAAAATAAATAAAAAAATGAAATAAAATTTTTTTAAATATTGATGAAATTTATTAAATTATGACAAAACATTCACTAAAACTTTAATTTCTATATAAAACTTTAGAAAAGTGCTGAAACTTTTTAGTTTTTCATAGATATTAATGGGACCAGATTTTAAAAATTTAAACTCGTTTAAATGACCTTTGGTCGCAATGTTATTGTTTTTATTTGGAAACTGTATTTACATTTTTGACATTATTTTAACTACGTTTTGTTAATCATTTGTGAGTATTTTGTTCGATTATGCAATTTATCTTAGCAACTTTGCTGTTTAAGAAACAAATAAAATGGTCTTAACCCCTATATTAATAAATTACGTCATTTTTCAGCAATTAAAGCATAAATAAATTTTATTGAGATTCTCTATTCGCCTAAATTGGACTTGTTTATATATATATTTGAAGAAATATTTCTTCATTGCAATATATATAAACGTTTAAGTAGATATTTTTTAAACTTTAAAAAAATTCAAATATAGAGTTTAGAGAATTGTTTTAAATAATTAGCGATAACACAATATTGATAAAAAGTGATGCATGTTGTAAATTGTATTATTTTTCAATTGTAAATTTAACTAATATATAGGATTCTTAAATATTTCTATTTTTTACTGATAATATATATACAAGAAAATAATCAAAATATTGAGAAATATTCAATTAAAAAAATGAAATGATAATGTATGGTAGGCTAAACTGGTGAAACCGCTGGGAGGGTTCACCACTGATGAGCCAGGCCCTCCCATTAATTTTTCCATTGCAGTAAGGGCAGTAGAAATTATTTAATTTCAAAAAAGAATCTTACACCTTTAAAATAGTTTCAAATTTTGATAACAGATGGCGCGCTAGTGTATCATAATGTAATGTGTACAACATTACATAGTCTCCACTATGAACCAAAATAATGTGTCATTGGTACCAAAACTTGCTGTGGTAAAATTTCTCATTCAGTACTTTTGTCTGAAGATGGTAACATCGCTGTTACCGAAATATCAAACACTATTTATTTATTAGGATTTGGTCTTATTACCTTGTGTTGATAATCTATAATCCAAATTGTGCCTTATCATTAGTCTAATACAGATTCTCCGAGTAGAAATGTAAGGGTACATGCAGGAATAACAGTAATAATACCAGCAAAAAAAAAAAAAGCATTATTTTTATTATAATTTTTAAAGCTAATCACATTTTTAATCAGTCAATGATGTGTTTTGAGGTTGACACTTTGTACATAGTGGGAAAACTGTATACAGTGACTAGTTTCGAATTTTCATAACAGATAGCGCACTAATGCATTATAATACAGTGGTGACTCTACCAACATTGCAGAGTACGATGGAATATCACCAGCGGGTTCTCTAGTGATATTGTTCATTTCTTGGGCAATGAAATAAATGTAAATTGTGAAACTTTTAGCTGACATGGTCTCTTCTTCTTCTTTCTTATCTCCACACTGGGTGAAGTAGAATGCGTCTGCTTTTGTCATTAAGACTGGGAGCACTACTCAATGGCAGACCGACTTAGCTCCAAAAGAAATGGCCGCCTCTGACATGAGGAACAGATGCCATGTACATCCGCTCCTAACATGAAGTACAAACGCTGCTCATCCCGTATCCCTAGAGCCCTTACAGGGTACTATCAGCATGGCCAGCTGAACCCAGGTTTTTTAGTGAGCTTGTTACTGCTCCCCCTCTTCCTTTTTATCCAGGCTTGGGACCGGCAGAGGTGAAGTTGCTGACCTGGTGATAGAGTGGTACTAGAGACCCACCAGGAATCAAATGAATTGATCCATGATAAAGCACACAATTTGGATTACAGATTATAAACACAAGGTAATAAGACCAAATCCAAATAAATAAATAGTGTGTGACGTTTCGGTAACAGTGTTGTTACCATCTACAGACAAAAGTACTGAATGAGAAATTTTACCACAGCATGTTTTAAATAGTTAACTGTTATCAAGTGTGTAAACAAGATAGCAGATAAGAAGAAGATAGTTTTCTGAGAAACACAGAATATTAATCTTAGAATTAAAAGTGGAAAAAACCCACCAAAGTACTGAATATGTGATGTTTCGGTAACAGCGTTGTTACCATCTTCACTGAATGACATTCAGTACTTTTGTCTGAAGATGGTAACAGCGTTGTTACCATCTTCACTGAATGACATTCAGTACTTTTGTCTGAAGATGGTAACAGCGTTGTTACCATCTTCACTGAATGACATTCAGTACTTTTGTCTGAAGATGGTAACACCTTGTGTGAATTAACCCATCGTGTGTCCAGGCCATGGGAAACAACTCCAGCCAAGTGACCAGTGAAGAACTGAAGAAACACCAGGAGTTCCTGCTACAGATGCACCAAGCCCAGGTGAGAGTCAACCTTGGCTCTAGTGATGGATTCTTTTATTTCACTGCATGAATGTAGGGTGCTTTTCCTTAGTCAGGTTACTCCAAAGCCATAGATAGCCATAGTCTGACTTGATACCTTGGTCCTCTTAATCCTTTCTTTGAGGACACAAGGTAAAAAGACCAAATCCAAATAAATAAATAGTGAAACGATTTGGTCTTATTACCTTGTGTTTATAATCTATAATCCAAATTGTACCTTATTATTAGATTTGGTCTTATTACCTTGTGTTTATAATCTATAATCCAAATTGTACCTTATTATTAGATTTGGTCTTATTACCTTGTGTTTATAATCTATAATCCAAATTGTACCTTATCATTAGATTTGGTCTTATTACCTTGTGTTTAAAATCTATAATCCAAATTGTACCTTATCATTATATTTGGTCTTATTACCTTGTGTTTATAATCTATAATCCAAATTGTACCTTATCATTGGATTTGGTCTTATTACCTTGTGTTTATAATCTATAATCCAAATTGTACCTTATCATTAGATTTGGTCTTATTACCTTGTGTTTATAATCTACTAGCCGAATGACCCGGGCAACGCCCGTGTTTTACCCGATTGAAT